GGGGAATCTCTTTCTTAAGTTTCTTTCCATCCTGACACAATGTGGCGATTTTGTTTCGCTTGTGCTGCACCCCGCTGCCTCTCTTTGTCATTTTTAATTTGTTTTTCTTCTTTGTTTTTGGCCGGTCTGTTTTTCCAGCGCGCCCTGCTCCCTCTCTGGGTGAACTGTTCTGTTCTGAATCGCTCCACTCATTTTGCTTTTTTTTTTCGGCTCTGTTTCTTTGTTGATCTTTATTAGTTTTTCTGCTCTGGCGTTCTGAAGCACGCCCTGCTCCCGTTCTGAAGCGCGCCCTGCTCCCGCTCTGAAGCGTGCCCTGCTCTGGCGTTCTGAAGCGCACCCTGCTCCCCTTCTGAAGCGCGCCCTGCTCCCGGACTGCACAACATGCCTTTTGTTTTTGAAAACTTTTGCCCTCAACCCTGCCTGCCGATCTGGCCCCTCCCCTCTCCAGTCACAGCCCACTCACAGAGCACCTTGAATCAACTGCTGGCATTTGGAGTGCAGGAATACTTTGCACTGAGCAGGCCACCAGGTGCTGAAGTCGATGTTTCTTTGGGTTTGCACCTTTGCACCCATTGCTGGGAAGCCATCCAGCTTTGCCAGTCTATGGGGGCAGCATGAGCCAAGCAGACCAGAGATGACTATGTATATAATAATATGTAGACATATATATATAGACAGGCAGTTGGCCTCCGAGCCATCAAGCCATCCAGCCCAGGATAGAGTTTGGCCTTCCAGCATCCTCATGAACCAAGCAGAACATAGCCACCCATGTTTCCAAATCATGTCCTGCAGCGAATGTGATCAAAAGCAGAGAGTGGACCGCCCTCACATGACAGACAGAAGCTGGCATCAATGCAGGCCTCCTCGCACCCAGGCAGTGGCCGAACACATGTCTCAACTCCACCGAGGAAGCACGTTCCATCGGATTCCACCAACTGCTCGAGAGGTTGAGCCTCAGCAACCCCACTGCAATCAGACCTCTACCCACCAGTACATTGCCCAGGAAAACGGGAGCATCGAAACGGATTCAATCCGGGAATTCTGGAAGCTCCGGGCTAACAGACCAAACTGGATGGTAGCACCAGCCAAGAGGGGAGGGGGGGGAGGAAACATTATGCTGGCATTTTGGCAAATCTTGGCGTGCAGGGGGAATCCGCCTTGGCAAAAACAGGCTCGGATGTACTTGTTGTTTAACAAACTACTATCTAGGATACGCTCAAACGCAATAACTAGCTGCTTTGCAGATGTTCATCCCATCTTCTCCTACTAGCGGTACCAGACCTGGATCATTAGGACATCTAGTTTTTGCTTGGGGTCTGGACACGACAAGTTTGTGCAGCGCAACCAGACTGTGCGTCCTCTTCAACACGAATGCTTGTCCTGTTCAAGCATGCGTTTCTTTTGCGACCTTGTGAAAAGTGAAAACCCTGACCACTGAACAACACGGACGCTCGTCCTCTTTGAACGCACGTTTTTCCTCCACCGGGTATGCCCCATGAAAAGTGAAAACCCTGATCAGTCCACAACATGAACGCTTGTCCTCTCTGAACGCATATTTTTTTCTCAGCCCCAGGAAAAGCGAAGACCCTGACTACTCAACAACACAAACTCCAAACACACGTTCTTTCTCAGCCCCATGAAAAGTGAAATCCCTACACCACTCAAATTCGAAAACAGTGGAAACGCAAGGCATTGGAATTCTCAGCCACAATTTTGGCGAAAGAGAGGGTGAACCTTTGCCACTGGAAACGGAACAGGAGTAGTGATTATCCAGAATCGATAGGCACCATGGTCCACTTTTCAAACAGATAAAAAAAAGAAGGGGAGGGTGAAGGGGGAGGGAGGGG